TTTTGCCAAAGAATATAAATAAACACAAGAAATAGAAATAACTTAATACTGGGGTTTTTCTTTTTAATTAGAACTGTTCCATCAACTGTATAGGATTGTGTGTGTGATCATAGCCTGACTGTCATTTAAGCATACTGAAGAATCATCAAGCCATCTTTTTTTTTTCCCTGAGATATGTTAAGACAGAGAAAGGAAATTATTTTTTTAAAAAGCAATTAATAGCTCACCCTGAGCTCAGTGGAATTTCATGAGACAAAGAAAAGCCATCTTGGCACCCCTAGCATTCTTCTGTAAAATATTAAAGACTTCTGGGAAACAAAAATGGTGTGGGGATTTCTTTAAAAAATAAAAAGGGTCTCACAAATATATTTAATGAACAACATGAGATAAGTGAAATACAGGGAATGCCACAAGAATCCCTTAAAAAAATGCTTGAAGAAAGAAGCCTAAGAAATGGCTTGAAGAAATGCCTAGCTATGGATTGTCCTCCAAGACATGGAGATAAGACAGAGATCTCGTGCCAAGACAGCCCTTATTTGTATGCAGTACCTTTCCAGCCATTTTGTGTCCTTATTTTTATATGCTTTTTTATACTGTACGTAAACAGACCACAAAAAAAAATTAACAAAACATGGTCAACAAAGTGATTCTTTAGAAAGCCTTTCCTAATAAGGAATGGACTTGAAGAGGGCTATATCAGTCATATTTTTCCATGACATAAATAACTTTGTTTTGGTAGTGAAAAGTCACTACCTAACACAAATATTACAATGCAGAAACAGAAGGGCCTATACAACCAGAAACAAACATCTGCCAATGCATTTTTTCCACTTACGCCCTCTGCAAATGAGGTCGAGGTTGGAAATTATTTGAACAGATGGATGTGCACTATTTCCTGGAACTTCAAAATCCATACACTGTCTTTGCCATGCACTATCATTCATACGTGGCTTATGAAAGCAAATGACAGTTTGGATTGCCACTTGTGCATGTTTATTCACTGAAACAGTTCAACTTGTAAGCTTGGAAGGTCCTTCTGATCTAATGCTACTACCTTGTACCAGTGATACTCAAAAGTACTTTGCAAATGTTAACAAAGGACAGGCTCACAATTACCTCATAGCTTGAGAATCCTGTAATTTATTTTCTAAAGAAGGGGGGAAGCTGGACAAAAAGAGCTGTTAAGGGAATTTTTGCAATAGGGCACCTATGTGCACATGCACTTAACAGTAGATAGGTGTGGATTTGGGTGTTTATGTTGGATAACTAAGTTTCTAGGTGCACAAGAAACCATTACAAAAGTCTGAGAAACGTTAAGGTGATTCAACCATATTTCAAGGGTATGCTTGATAAAGTAACTGCAGCAGAGACCTGTGAGTTAGGAAACAGACTCTTGTTTCAGTCTCACAGACCGCTATTTGACTTGGGCTAATGACAAAAGGCAAAATTTGAGTGATTTGTGAGCAGTCTGGAAAACAGATATTTAATGATAACTATATGGATTCATTTACCTTCAGTGAGGATTACATATTGATAGACTTTTTTTCAAGTCTTCACATGTTTCATTCCTACTTATAAGACTTTGGCCCTACATAACTTTTGATATCAAGACTCAAGAGCTTTAAATTTTTCTCTTAACTTTATTTCAGGCACTGCAGTATGAAAAGTGTTAGTCTGAACAAGTTCCCAAGCCTGTAATAGAGCAATTTAGAATTCTAGATCCTCAGGTCTCACCTTTGGCAAACATCTCTAACTCATTTTATTAATTAAATAGAACATTTTCCAGTACCCTTAAATGGCTCAAAAGTTTCCAATGTCTTTGTTAACTACTGGACTCTAAAGCTTTTAATTCTTTCATACTTTTATTGCACTGTGACTAATCAGAATTGCACTTGTGATAATTCTTGTGCTTAGGACCTTCCATTAGAAAGAAACAAACATGTTGAAAACTCATTGCACACAATGCCATTTGAAGTATAATTCTGTATTTCAAATTTTCCCACTGCTCTTAATGATTTTAGCAGGAGATTGTTGGTGTTAAAATGAAGACCTAGACAATCAGTATTAAAAACCGTAATTAAAACTAAAAGGGTTTGGAAATCTTTCACAAGTAAATTGAGATTTCCACTTGTTCCAAAAAATCTTAAAGTTAGGACTAGAAAAATAGGTAAAGGAAAAATACTTTAGAGCATGGCATACGTTCCTGAAAATGGCAGAGTTCTTCATCTTAAACATGGTTTTAAGACTAAACAGACAACATCTACCATATCTTAGGAATATAGCGGAAATACCCCTTTCCCAACTTTTTTCTGAATTTCAATTAATCCAGTATGGGATGCTGAGCTTTCAGCTACAAAGCGACACCTAACTGAATGTACCAAGACGTACTTCCTTTATAAGCGCTGTTCTCTTCTCCAGAGCACCTGTTGCTTTCCCATAATAGTGAGTACTTAAGTTTATCGATTGGGTCTACCTTTGAAAGGAGAGTGAGTGAAGAAAGACATTTAAAGGCTCCCAGAAGCATCTGACTGACACACTGAGGCTGCTTAGGAGCGCAATGCAGAGTCTCTCCAACCACCCTCCTGAAGCTCTGCCCAAATAAGCCACGATTCCTGGGCATCTGCAGCAAACTAAGCAACTACAATGAGGAGTAAGCTACAACAATTCCTGTTAATACTGTGTAAACCTGTATTTGTACACACCTGCTGCTCTGTGAGCAATAAACCAGGGCTGGAACACATTTTCTGGAGTGGTTTGACTCTTTATTCCTCAGCGAACGTTCTGGCCCTTCCTTAGAATCCGACCAAGACTAGGATTCATCACAACTAGTGCTCCAACGTGGAGCCAGAATATTTTGTGTGTGTGGAAAAATCAAAAATTGTCATCAGGCACAGCAGAAACCTCCTTTCTCTACTTCTCCATTCGGACTTGAGGAGTTTTACACGTTTGCCTAAGAAACAAACACATGTCAAGTACTACACTGTTATGGAATTAGTTACAGAAAACAAAACTGGGATAGTTGGAATTTTCTTTAACTTACAAGGAAAAGTACAAAATGACAGGAAAAAACATATTTCAGAATCAGAGCGACTTCTCTTAGCAAAAGAGCATGGTCTCAAAAACACCCCCAAGCAATAACAGTAACCCCCAAGGAAAAGGTTTAAACATACTCAAACTCATTGATTTGTCACCAAAAAACAATAGAAACTGATAGATAACACTCATTTTTGCAAGTATATCAGCAATCTTTAACTATAATAAAACAGTAATTGAAAAGTTCTTTGAAAATAAGTCTATGGATAGACCTGTGGTACAGAAAAGAGCCATGAAGTCAGAATACGATTCTTTCTAAATGAAAGATTTGAGTGTGTTCTTCCCATATGTTTAACGTAAAGTTTTTAAGTAAAAAAAAAAAAAAAAAAAAAGGAAGTTTAAAGTTTGAAAAATGTGAGCATTTTGAGAACTCTACTTACAGTCATTTCTATGGTCAGTAGGTTACAGAAAACAAAATAAAATAACAGATGGCACATTTCAAAAGACAATGTTCAATTCAGACAGCCAGTTACTTATCCAGATATTTGAGGTAGTTTTTGGACCTGCTGATAATGATTGTTTCCTAAAAGGGTTGCACAACACCTCGAAAGATCACCTAAATTTCTTTAAATAACGCTTACAAAAATATTATTATTTTCCTTTTTTTTTTCTTTAGGCTTTTTAACTTAAATGTCATGCTGCAGATCATTAGAAACATACATTACAAGATTAAACTCATACTTTGATAACTTGTTGCTTTAATAAGATCTCTACAGATTTAAAGACTATGAAACAAATTAATATGGCTCTGTATTCTTATTTCCTTGAACTTGATAGTGTACAAAATAAACTTAATTGATACAACTCACTAGGACAATTCTCATAGTGTATACCTGATGAAGATATGAGAGTTATGTCAAGGCTAAATCTAATTCATTAGTCTTTTGAATGTATTTCATTATTATTCTCTTCCAAAAGGTAATGCCACTACAATGCACATACCTAAATTTTCTCAATCTTTCTACAACTCAGCACAGAAATTAAGTTTATGGTAGAATTGTTTTAACTTCACAATTTTTTTTCATTTACAGACAACAGTTTTATATTAAAAGAAGACTTAAACATAAACCTTATTTTACTTTCTGTAACAGATAATAACTGTAGCAATACAGACAAGGATATATCCTCTTGAGGTTTTTGTGGTGATCACAACTCCATAGTGGGACTGCAGCATGGCGGCATAAAAGACTGCAAAACAATTAATTAAATAATGTAATTTTCTTCTCTTTTGCACCACTTATTCCATCTAGTCATCTCAAGTGGAAAAGAAAAACAACCTCCTTCCTTTTTACAGATGAGGAAACTGAAGCATAATAAAGAGTCATGCTACCCTTCAAATTGTGAGAACGTAAATGGAGAAGGAGGGATAGGAACAGAGTCCTTCTGTCTTTGGCTTTATCTGACCTCACCTACCTAAAGGAAGGACTACTGTTGCTCTTGATTGGAAAGGAAAACCTGTAACAAGCTGTTTCCTGTGTTCAATATTCTAAAACAAAAAACAAAAAAACAAAAAACCAAAAAACAACCCAGCCTTGTTTTAAAATTAGGTTGAGGTTTTAAATTGCCTAACAGGTATAACGGATTTTCATCATTTAATATATTTTTTCCAGAAATTGGGTAAGATTGAACTTCAAATTATCCCCACGAAAAAATCAGGTAGTCTAAATTCATCACATTTGATATCTTTTTCTTCTTCAGAAGTTTATGGTGTGTTATTTTTTCTGGGATTTTGAATGGAGAGTAAAAAGCCATTTGGACGAGACCAAAATAGAAACGTAAATTATTTCCTTACCTGTAATTTTATCTTCTCTATGAGGGTACCTGCTGCTCTGTTAGTGCAGTACTGATGTGTTTTCTGCCTTTGTCCCAAGCTTCAGAGATTCCTCTGGTGATTTTTCCCCACTTGCTTACCAGCTTCCACTGCTGGCATTTTGAGGTAGTGCACTCACATTTGGATCCACGAATACTGCCACAGCTGAGGGAATATAAGACAACTAAAAAACAAGTTAGAAAACAGCAGAGCAATATCCAGGCAGGAAAAAAAAAATGTTTAAAAACAATGAATCAGTCATCAACTTGAAACCCTTCGATCATTTTCCTCTCTCTTTCCATCCATTTAGAATCTCCACATGAAGAAAAGACTTTCCCAAGCTTGGAGAAATTTTAGCCAAAGTAGTGGGTGCTGACAGAGTAGTGGGTACCCATTCAGAGAATATAAAATTATTTTAAGGGAATCTAATTTTAACTTTCTCCAGCATGAGTACCCATCACGCCATCACTCTAATACAGATAAGAAACAGAAGAAAGGTGGCAGATTTGGAGGATTTCAGAAAAATCCCTGTCTCAAGTCTTAACAGAACCAGGGAAAAGGAAGACTCAAGGGCTTTTCACCTAAAAGCTGTCATAGATGAAGAACTGAAGGATTTCTAATTTCCCAGGGAAAAATACATAAAGTCTGGTTCACTAAGAAGTAGTTAAGATTATGGTTGCTGATCCCCTACTAACAGTTGTAGTCATCTTGGTCATCAGAGAAAAAGAAGGGAAAAGAGAAACTAGTACTGTCAATTTAATAACTAAATAAATTAAACACAAAACAGAGAGCATATCTACCATGCATGTTTGAAGTTGCATGTAGATGACAAAATTTCACTGGCATTCTCTTATGTTTTTTACGTATAATGGTCACAAGTTCCTGTGGCATTCTTGGAAGAAGATAGCATAACACACTGGTACTAATTCCAGAAAATGATGGCTTTGATGCTTTTCCCTGGCATTTGCCCTGAACTCATGATAAACTGATGCACGTTACTAGCATCATTCCTGAACTGATTAGAAATGTCTTCTTGCTTGAGTATTATGGAGATTTCCAGGTGAAAGTTACAACTTCCTGTACTGGGGATCACCTTGATACTGCTTCTGAACTCCACAGTACACAGAAAAGATGTATCCTGTCAAAGGAAAAAATGAACTCTAGAAATTTAACTAAGAACCTGCTTTGGTATTCAATTTAATTTGTCTTTCTTAAAGAACCTGGCAAGTTGTCTTCACACCTGCATCTTCTCATTATCTTCTGACTAGTATGTGACCCAAGACAAGGTAAGTATGAATGAATCGGAGCAGCTAATCACAATTAAACACTGGTATTCTAAAATCTCAAGTAATGAAGGAAAGACCAAAAGGCTCTGAAGAGGTTGTTGCCTTCAAATTTCAGGAACGTAAGTACCAATGATTTGCCTTAAGGTCAAGAGAGAGAAAAAGGACTCTGGTAATTTCTTGAATGACCCTCCAAAAAGAAATTCGCTTTGCAAATAATCAGCTTCAAATTTGCCAAGTTGCATTCTAGGAGAAAGTCTCCTGTTCCTTTTTCGTATTTTGAAAATGTTGAACAATAATTATTAACAACTGGAATTAGAATGATGCCTTGAAGATGATAAATTTGCTATGCTATCTCATTTTCCAAGGTCACTCTGAAAAGATGATAAGGAGGCAGGACAGAGGGATCTCAGAATTCTAGAAGAACAACTACTCTGATTTTTCAGTGCATTTGCCTGAATTGGTAACAGCACAAGCAGAGGTAAAGTCCTTTGGTCTTCTTTTGGCAGGGTCATGTTTCTGAGCCACAAAGCTTGAATTCAAGATGAAGGAACAAGCTGTTCTTCTGGCTGGCATCAGTAAGATATTTTCTGGCATTTTTGAACCTGAAGAGGCAAAGCTGTTTTGGACCTCTTGACATATGCAGCTCCATTAAAATTCTCAAATTTTCTATTACTACTGAGTTTGTAGATACATGTTGGTTAGACACAATCCATTGCTTCCTTGAGATCATATCCATCTTCTTAAACTGGAGACACACTGTGTTCACTTCTGGTTTTAGAGGTCTTGCCAATATAATTCTACCGGTCACATCATACAAATAAGTCATGGTGAACTCGGTATTTTGTAGCTTCACCCAGAATCTCCACTTCAGAACTCTATGGCATTTCTCACCGCAGATATGGAAGGGGATGAATGATGGTCAGGACTGTAAGATCTGAGAAGGAATCATCTGTGTATGCTAATAATGCAGTAGAAGAAAGCTCAAAGTCCATTTTATAGAACTTATAAAGTCCTTTGGAGTCTTTTCTCCATACAGAGCAGTAGTGTCTTTCCTAAGATGAACCTGGTGTTCACCAAGGTGGAAGAAGGAGTAAACTACAAGCTATGAAAAAAATGAACAATTTTGAAATTCTTATGGAAATTAATTTTATGTTGGTCCTCTTCTTTTTTAATTTAGTCCTAGACATCAATCTTCCACTTATTCTTGCCTGAAATACATTTTTTCTTCATTTTGAACAGTTCTCAGATAGGACAGGACTATCTTCATTATTCTTATGGAGAAATAAGTAAGATTTACAACCATGCTCACTTTGTTCTGCAAGGGAATAATATCTGAGTAATCTGATTTCAACTGGTTTGAGAGTTGTTCACTCCTCCAACGGTTACTGTGCATAATGCTCTGTATGACTGACTTTCTCCGCTTGATATTGATTATTATCCGTTTCCTTCCTTCCCTATTAGATGGCAGAAGAGCAGAGCTGCAACAGGGCAGTACTTCTGAGGTTTTCTATACAGTCCTAATGAGTAAGGAAATACCTCAAGAAAACTATGGGATTTTGGAGAGTTGAAAGTAATATCTTTTGAACAGTTGGGGGCTACTTTTCTACTCCCTCATATCCGTTCTGCAACTAAGCAGTGATGCACAGTTTTTGAAGCCTGTGCCAAATACCCATGGAAAGAAGCAAGAGTTCTGCCTGCAGCTATTTAGGTAGTAGGTAATGTGAGGTTTCAGAACACTCCAGTCCCTCTGAGCTGAAATGTATCATTTCTGACTTGCAGAAATGATCCAAAGAAGCCCTTACAGACTGCAAAGGAGGGTGAGACAAGGAAGAAGCACTAGTTTTAGAGCATGCCAGCATGACTCACACAATACTGGCATTTGAATATCATCTTCCTATACAGTAACTTGTGAGGTAGTAGAAGCTGAAAAAGATTTCCCAGGAAAACTAAAAAGGACTGCTAGATATTCAAAGAGCCCTTCTTGCACAGCTGTGAAAGGACAAAGAGACTGGCAGAAAATGGAGCTGCAAATCAGAGTGGAAACATCTTTGATTTCGGTGTCAGGACTTTTCTACTTTGTGGAGAAGTGGAGAAAAACAGTAATTTACATACAGCCTTCAGAACTCACTCTTATTTTCCATCATATTCCATCAGCAGAAAACTATTCTTCAGACATGAGGTCAATATCTCAAACATGCCAGCAAGGACAAATTGGGGGAAAAAAGAAAAGAAAGAAAAATAAATCACAAGTCGAATCTTTTGGGACAAAGGCAGAAAACCTCTTGGCTGGACTGATGGAGTGGAGGATTCCCACGTGGAAGAAAGTAATGCTTGCAAAAATCACTGATTAGTTAATTAGTGACATGCAACTGAAATCCATTTGCATTTTTCTTTAAATATTGCAGAAATATTTTCCTTTGATTTCAGAGTAATTCTGTCAATTTTCAAGTTCTGCAGAAGCTAAAATGATGCTTTACAATGGATGCTAGCTGCAGTCTTACCTTAGAAAAAACTATTCCCTCATAAAAATGTATAAACCACAGCATATATTACTAATACTCTGCGAGTGTGATGAAGAGATTGCAATGGATTTCATTTCTGATTTGTACAGTGTGCCTACTCACAAAAAAATTAAAGTAACACTTCTGAATAGCTAGAGACAAGACCCAGTGTATTCACAAGGAGGTGCAGCAAGGGATTGAAAAAAAATAATGAAAAATTGCAGATCATCTAGGCAAAAGCTGCTAATTAAGAAAAATAAAAATACTATTCTGTTTTTAGAAATTATTTTCTTTCAAGTAATGCATTAACAGGCTCCCTCTTTCCAGAAGAGCTGTACCTGTGAATATTGCCTTTAACACATTCTCTCTTTTGTTGTTCCTCACTTTCAGTTCTTAATATCAGTACCCATAGGACTCAAAGTCGGAACAGAACTAAACAAAATTTGAGACCGAAAATGTCTTGCGAGTTGAATGTTTGGATTATCTTCACCTGCCCAACAAGTTTTACTGACCTTTCAGTCTATGACTTTGCCTATAACATTTCATACCACAACACTTCTTCCTTTTATCCTTTTCATCATAACTTGTGTTTTGTGGGTATTTTTAAGTACATTTGCCTTTGGGGAAAGGACTATGACTTGTCTAGATTTCTGTGACCTACAAATGAACATCACCAAGCTGTAGGCCTAAACTCGTGTCAGATGTAGACTTGCAACAGGAACCTTTTCATAGGGTAGAACTAGGCACGCCAACTTCACGTTAAAGAAGTAAATTTGGTATATAGCAGCTATTTTTAAGGAAAACAGTGAATTGCATAGCCCTGAATACTGATGATTCCTTGTAACATGTGTTGGCTGGAATGCTAACTATTTTCATCAAAATGCCCATGTGTCCCAAAAGATTAGTGTTTGGGTGCCCTACAAAAAATACAGAGCTTCAGTATGAATGAATTGTGATGCTAGATCAAAACAATAATTATTGACTAATGCAAAAAGCTAGCTTGACCCCAGAAAATGTCATCCTATTTCCATTACCAGATCATTTGCCCCCTGAAACTTGTATGTATTTTTAGGAAAATGTGTACATACCACTTATTGCTATTTTAATGACAGATTAGATACAGTGGGTCTCTGAGTGAGCAATGAGAAACATGCTGAGACAGCTGCAAATTTCTCCTAGTGACAGATTAGCCAAAGGCATGGAAAGAGATACCATAGCAACAAAGAGGTTGTCACAAGTGCAATCACTCTTTTCCATGAGTAGTATTTTGCTACAGTCTGTGCACTTACTTATATTGTAATCACATCCTTTTTATGAACTGCAAGGTATTACTAGTCACTGTATATATGTATATTATTCCTATAAATCTTCATATGAAATTAAGGTAGAAGGTGAGG